GAAAATAATTCAGTTTTGCTGAATCATGAACTGTGACTTATTTCAATATGTCAAAATTATCCCGCCTAATGCAGGATGTCCCTGGGATCATGTAAACAATAATTATGTAAGTATCACATTAGAATCTCAAAAGGAACCTCGTTTGACCAAATGTACATCAATACAAAATGTTTTCACATGCAACAATCACCGTTTTTGCCGCTCACATCAAGTCGAGATCCATGTGAGTGAAAGGAAGATGTATCTTGTATGAGCTTACACACTTTTATTCATTTGAATTGAGTCAGCATACAATCATTCGTGATAGCTTGCGATATGCAAATAACAAACCTTATTTCATTTTCATTTGGGCTTGGTGAGAAACATATTACGAAGATTCCTTTACTACGACGACTGTTTCCAATGACTTAACCTTTGGGAATTTAATGCAATCACAAGTTGACACAACTACTTGGAATTGCTTTTTTCTAGCTTGTATGACATGTCGTTTGCAAAATTCAGGGTGCAATACATAAATTAAAGTACATATATTTGGGTGTGGGTACAGGATTTTATTATCCAACATAATCAACATATTTTACTAATACTCTGTCGTTAAAACTCGTGACTATCAACTATGGGGCAGGACCAGGAGGTACGCAATGTTGTGACCCACCTATCAATGCGAGTTAGAACCTACGCTTTAGCTAGGAATGCCACAACCTGTTTCACAGGGTCTCACCTCCGCCACGCCCCCCAAACACCGGCTCCGGCGAGACCCTGTTCGGGTATGGTCACGTGACATCCCAGGTTTTGGAATATGGCGTAATTTGTCGTTAGGGTTGGTACGTGGGGCAGAGTTATTAACTACAGTCATTTCTAAAAATATTAGAACTTGTCAATTTAGTTAATGATCGCATTTGGCATTTTTCGAAGTTCTATATTTGAAATAAAACGAATTACACTACGAAAAAACGTTATATATGATATGGTTCGCGGCATTTAGACCAGTGATTTAGACTCTTGTTGTCGTCTGTTTCTTGCTAAATATATGTGATCACTGTTCGCAGTTATATTATTAATACATTGTGATTTTAAAAAACCGTCCTTCGTATATATTAACATAGCACATATCAGATGTATTTGTCAAAATAAAATGGATACATTTTATTGTATTTGCTAAAAAGGCTTATCAACTATGAACTCTCACCTTTAGTGCTAATGGTACGTGTTTATATATATTTTAACGTCCACGTAGTTTTGTGTAAACAAATGTTCGCGTATTACATCATTTTGGTATACGCGTCTCAATTCATACATCTGTATGTGATTCTGTCATTGCCTTTGCCCATTGCCATTGGTATAGTATATAGGTTTTATGTCAATCACGATTCAAAATATTTACATGTTCGTTTTGTATGTGCTGGCTCTGGACTATAATGCCTTCATATTACATGCTTAAATTATAACTGTGTATGACTGCACATGCATGTCTTTTGTGACCTTATACCAAAGCATTGACAAAGTTATTTTAGTACAATTAACATAGTTGCATATATATAGCGCAAGAGAAGTCGTACTTAGTCTTTGTTGAATTATTGTAAAATATAAAACCGATATCGGTTTTAACTAAAAGGTGCAATAATAGACAATTCGCGACAGAAAGCAAACATACACGTTCTGGGTCAGGTCAATATTTAATATGCACAAGAAACAGTAGAGGGCCAACTATAAAGCGTATAACGATTCTTCTTGACTCACCAATAATTTTAGTGATAATTATTGCATTGCAAAATTTATAATGACAACAATATATAGGATCAATAGCTTTATAGCACAACCGGGTTTGACATACTGCTAAAAAGGAACTTTCAAAATCATTGACGAGATAGATTCCTGTGATGCTTTCTCTACTCTTTCAGTTACCTGGCTTTATTACAGTTTGGCAGCCTTTATAGTTTAGGTGATAAATATGGTTTAAAATACTCTTTGTTTTAATTTTCATTTGCTATTTTTAGTAAATTAATAAGTGCTCAATCATGCTACCCTTGCCACCCCTACTGAGTATAGCACGTGGTCATGACTTACGTGACCACACCAAACCAGGATCTCTCCGGAGCAGGGGGTGAGCGGAGGTGAGACACTGGGAATGAGGTTGGGAATGCCATCTACGTATGTCGTCATTTTCAGGTCAGTGTGAGCAGGCGTCTTGTTATATAATTGTTCATTCTAATTAGTATTCTTTTGTAGTCGTATCTTAAGCTATCCAAAACACTTGTTGTCGTGTTTCACATATCTGATAAAACACTCCTACTCATGTTTTAAATAGTACTTCAACATTTGAAATCCTGCAGTCTTTATTAACGTGAAAAATTAAATATCTACACTCAACATTGAACGCACAGAAGGGCGTTGAGTTTGGATTACAATTTTTTATACACCCTGGTATTCTAATATCAAACATTTTAAATCAGTTCCATATTTTAGATGCACATAGTCCCATTTCCCCTGTAATGTTCTTCCCAAATTTTCCTTTATGCTGGATAAATCATTATTTCTATTATTGCCATGCATTTGTGAAGAAACATTGATTGACAGTAGTGCTGGTTTCCACGAAGCAATGTGGTACAGTATGTTAGAAATATAAATATTCATATACATACCTATGCTACGGTTCTCTTGGCCTTTCTGTTCCCAATCACTTTGTTCAAATGCTTCCTGAAGTTGATCTATTTTGACAGAAGTAGAGGACTGGTTTTGATTCAGATCTTCTTGACCGGATGTTAGTTGATCTACTTTTCCTGATAACGAAATCAGTTGTTGTTGAGGAAATTTTTGGTTGGTGTCTAGTTGACCAACTTTAACATCAGTAGAACGTTGTGCTTGTTGAAGAACACCAACCTCACGCTTTAACCCAGCAAACTCTTCCTCGAAATTTCTTAGATGTTGCTGAATAATGCGTATTTCTTCTCCGCTTTCAGATTTCATATTCTCTACGTCACTTAACAGTCTATTAAGCTGTTCTTGAACCATTTTTACCAGTCCGGGATCCATGCTCGCATTCATGCACAATATAACACCTAAAATAAGAAGAAAGATACTTGTGCAGGTGTCATATGTGAATGGGGCTTCGGTGGCGTAGTCATCAGAGCAAGCGCCTTTCACCTCTGAGATCGTGAGTTCGATTCTCGCTACGGACTCATGTGGAAAGAGTTAGTCAACGCTCTGACGAAAGTCGTGGGTTTTCTATTGGCGCTCCGGTTTCCTCCCACACCAAAACATTACCAGGGGTGGAAAAATAGGCGAGCATGCGAGCACTGATCGCAGGAAATGTTCAACAGCTGCAGGAAATTCGTTTGAATGAAGATTTGCTATTGAACATTTAAAGGAAACAACACCCACAATGGGTGCAACAACATATGGTTGACAGACATTATTCCTTAAATTTAAAACCATGATCAGCCAGAACACTATATGTCTATGCACAAGCAGATTTAGCACAAAATTACTCCGTTGGTCTGCAGGACATTTTTTCTCCAGGTTGTGCTCCCAGGAAGAAGACAGCTTTGCTGTCCTGAACATTACATCGGAAGTTCTGAAAGTATGTGGACATCAGATATTTTAAACATAAAGTTGCAAATTCCACAGCTTTTTGAGCAACCAGTCAAACCATCGCACGAGTATTCGTTGCCGTTACGTAAATTTTGTCGTCGTGTGCATGACCTCTTGCTTTACTTTCAGTATCGCATCTCAAAAAGGATGTAATGTGCGTTGCAAATGAACCAAACAGTCCTTTCAGGAAATATAAAATCAAGAAACTACATTGGTTGAAGAATCAGCTTTCCGAGGCAGTGGTTCTGTTTACTGAACTCAAGAAAACGATAAACTCCTCAAATTACATCGCTTATGGTACTGAGCTCATTGGGCAGATCAGCAACATTCAGGAACTTATTAATAAAGTGAACATAACAAGCATGACAAATGCACGTATTCTGTGGTCACATCTAGAAAATGTTGTTGATCTTTGCAAAGTGGCACTTGATTTGATTGCTCATCGGGATTTTCCACCACTTTGTGACTATGTTCTTGAAGCTACAGATGCCGGTCCTGGTGCTGGAGTCTCTAACGTGGAGGTGAAGTACAAAGATATTGAAATTTCACGATTAATGGTTGGCCTCGCCTAAATAGGATTCACAGAATGCCTCGCGATCGTTTCGGCCCAAAATGAAGCTCGACGATCAAACGCAGCAATAGGCGAAGTCTTGGTTGGTGGTAAACTGTAAAGTGTTTAAATGGGAGCATTTTATACCAGGTGATGGAATGAGGGCAGAAGAACTAAATTCCCTCACAGTTGAAGAGATAAAGAAACTAGAACACGATACAATGGAGCGTAATGCATGGGCGGTTTCTCACTATGTCGTGGCACATATTGATAGTGAACCTGGTCCTGCCGGAGACTGCATGAAATCTTTCGTCACCAGCGCCATTGAAGAACAGTTCTTTTATTTACATACTAATACCTACACAAATATAATGCCACAAAGGAAAAGAAAGTCACAATCCTGGGCCAGAGCTACATACTGTTCACAACCACTGTATTTAAAAAAAAATAGACAGCATCAGTAATTCACAAATGGTTGCAGGAGAGATGTTTCACGAGCACAGCATTGACTCTTCAGTTGTACTAACTCTTCATTCGATTCCGGACCCAAGGAAACTTCCCAAGTAACATTATCTGCCTGTGAAAGAAACGCATACAACGAAGGAAAATGCTGACACAAGAGAAGTGGATGATTATCACCATTTAGATATGATAAATGAGAAAAAAAGACAAAAAGGAAGAAAAAGAATCTAAAAGAAAACAGCGTGACATGTGAGGAGTTTGACTGTAAGCAAATGCTTAAGGATGGAACCTTGCAAAAACACCGTGTTGCAGTTGTTGATGAGAAAGAACAAAAATAAAACCAGACCGAGTCAGTGCAATTATTTATCACCTACAATTGCACATTGTAATTTCCAAGAGACCTAATCGACAGAAATGTAGTTCTCTCGATGAAGAACAAGATATAGACTAGGTTACCGAAAAATTGAACTGGGAACATCATATTGATATGATTATTAAGAAAATTAATGCAGGCATTGCAGTAATTAAACGTATGAAAACCTATGTTCCTCAGGAATTCTTACAAACAGTTTACAACGCCTTAATACAACCCTATTTTGACTACTGCTGTCAATTGTGGGATACCTGTGGAATCGTCCTAAAGGAAAAACTACAAAAATGTCAATCCCGAGCTGCTAGAGTAATAACAGGAGCATCTTATGATATTAGGTCGGCCGATGTTCTTGCAACTTTGGGGTGGCAAACTCTCGACAATAGGCGAAAATACTTGAAATCCATTTTTATTTACAAAATCTTAAATAATGAAACTGCTCCAAACCTGAAAGAAAATTTTTTGAAGTACGTTGTAGTTGGGTTGTGTGCTTTCTGTCATTTAACGAAACAACATTATATATATATATATATATATATATATTTATATATATATATATATATATATATATATATATATATATATATATATATATATATATATATATATATATATATATATATATATATATATTGCCTCTCAGAAAATCCCCCCCACCCCATGGCTTTTCTAATGGTCCGTCCCTAACGACTTTTAATACTCCAAAATAATAACTAGGGATCCAAGGATAGTGTGAAGTTTCAAATTGAAAAAGACACTGCAAGAACTATATAGGGTCGCCGACAACCTAGAAAAGCTGATGGCTTACACTACGAAATAAACAGTTACCAAAGGCATTTCATCTCATTATTTATTGCTTTTAATACGCTCGGCACACGAGTAGCGTGACGTTTGAAACAAGCCTAACACATCAGAAACGTGCCTTGTGAAACTGATGCAATTCATCTATTTATTGTGTCACCAACAACCAAATTTTGCATATTCTAAATTTTCATTTGCATTTGCAGCTGTCGCTAAAAGCATCCCCACGAGGCTACTGCTATGCTAAACTTATCTAAAACTATAATTGAAATAGCTGTATACGATATGTTATGAATAATAAGCACTACGTCGTTATATCATTGAAAGGAAGCATTTTATCTTCATCCGTTCCGTATTTTATCCGCATATCCGTTCCGTGGATCCGCTCCATCCGCTTCCGCATTTTAACCTAATTGTGACATGTTTCACAATAACAAGTCTCATTGACCTTTGACTTTTCGAAGGTCACGTTGTGTCTATTTTCAGCTTTTCGCATGTGTTGAATAATGTCACTCTAGATTTCAATAGTTTCACAGTTATAGCTGCAGTGTTTAAAGCAGTTTTGACAAGCTTTGATACAGTTCTGTGTACAGAATACTACAGATTCATTCTCGTAAGATCTGGTAGAGTTATCGTTGCACTGAACACGAGTTTGCACCGTTGACAACGGCGTTGTGCTAGACAGTAAACAAGGTCCGTGACAGTACATGTTGGCTACATGTACCTCCTTGCTTTTTTCTTCCATTGCATAAATCTTGTTGGCGAGCCAAGCGATTGGCGATAACACGTTGGGGATAACACATTGGCTATCTCCTCGTCTTTCTTATTTAAATAAGGAGCTCTGACTCAACTGATTTCTTTCGTCTCGCAATATTTTCTTCGTAAACGCCTGTACAAACACCCGCTTCTGTTTAATAGTTGTTTACGCTTTATTGATCTGATGCAGATCTGATGCAATTTTTCGCTCTTTGTACTGAGTTCTGTGATGTAGCATCTTATACAGTCAATGACAATGTATAATGAATACACGGTCTAAATAATATCGATGGGCACTTAATTGAATGTCGGTAATCATAACATCAATTTATATATTATATTATTGCGTAGAATCTCAAAGATTTCCTCAATATTCATGTCTGAAATGTTTATATACCTGAAAACAACACTGTCTCGCTTCTTCGTACGTACTGTACCTCCGTATAATGAGTATACCGTGAAAATAATATCAGCACTCAATTG